CCCCAGAACTAAAAATACGCTTGATGTATCGAACTTTCAATCCGATTTGATGCGGTCACTTAGGATGGGTGCTGTCAACATCGAAAATCATATGTAGAAAATGACCGCCGCCGACCGCAGCCGTTGCCGCCCCCCAGAATTAAAAAAACGCCTGATGTATTGAATTTTTAATCCGATTTCATGCGGTCGCTCAGAAAGGGTGCTGTCAACATCAAAAATGATATTTAGAAAATGACCGCCCCCGACCGCCGCCGTTGCCGCCCCCCAGAACTAAAAATACGCTTGATGTATCGAACTTTCAATCCGATTTGATGCGGTCACTTAGGATGGGTGCTGTCAACATCGAAAATCATATGTAGAAAATGACCGCCGCCGACCGCAACCGTTGCCGCCCCCCAGAATCAAAAAAACGCCTGATGTATTGAATTTTCAATCTGATCTGATGCGGGTTCTTAGTAAGGGCGCTGTGTGTGATATACGTGTGAGTTTTGTAATTATTAGGGACATAAAGCTTCCGTATTTTTTGCTCGGTATCCGTATCGGTATCGTACTGCGCATGTGCAGAAGCGATACGGAGGCCGAGATACCGTACGTACAACGTAACGTTACGGCCCTCTCGCGGTATCCGTATCGGTAACGTATCTTGACATTCCTGACACGTGTGTCAAATTTTAAATGAATATAACCTCACTTTTTTTCCGGGTTAATTTAATTTGTTTAGTTTATACTTCCTTGAGTTTCTTTTGTGTTTAGTGCTTCTCTATCGCAAAAAAAATAACAATTTTAAGGTTAGATATAAAAACGCCGGAGTTTTGAGACAAAAATTTCTAGATTATGAGATGCGTTTACGTTTACCGGAACAGGGAGCGCTTTAACAGCCTTTTCGCCTGTCAACGTATCTAATTGCGTTACGGATACCGATACCGATACCGGCGAATTATTTCAAGTAGCTTTATGTCCCTAATGTAGGTGGCAACCAACCTCTATGCACAGCTTTGTCAACTGACAAGTAGTACTTGTGGTGTCAGTTGGGTCGTCATAAAATTGCAAGTTGTCAATCATAGCTCCTTGTGTTAAGATGTATTTTCTAATCTGTTATTAAAGTTATAAACCTTCTATGTTTGTTTGATGCCTCATACTTCCTAAACAACATACATAACACTGTGAACATGAAAAATTTTATGTGGGAATTGATCGCCCCCGACCACATCCATTGCCCCCCCCCCCCCAGAATCAAAAATATGCTTGATATACTTCAGGCGTAATTTTGATTCTGGGGGCGGCAACGACTGCGGTCAGGGGCGTTCAACTTCTAGATATGATTTTCGATGTTGACAGCACCCATCCTAAGTGACCGCACAAAATCGGCTTGAAAGTTCAATACATCAGGCGTATTTTTAATTTTGGGGGGCGGCAACGGCGGCGGTCATCTTCTAAATATCATTTTCGAGGTTCGCTGTCTCTTGAAACTTGAAAAGTAATGTGGATCCTGGTTCTTATTTATTGGATGTTAAAATAAATGACACATTTGTACTGGAAACTACAAACGTATTAGAACTTAATGAAATCTTTAGAGGAATTAAAAACAATAAATCCAGTGGGCACGATAATGTTTCATTAAATTTGCTTAGAAACTTGCCTGATAATGCATTATATGTCTTGTCTGAATGTATTAATATTTCATTTTTAACAGGAGTATTTCCAGACTGCCTGAAAAAAGCTATTGTGTTGCCTGTTTATAAGGGTGGCGATTTGGACAACCCATGTAATTATCGACCAATATCACTTCTCTCGACGTTGTCAAAAATAGTTGAAAAGTTAGTTAAAGAAAGAATGTTGAAATATTTTTCAAAACACAACATAATAAGTGACACTCAATTTGGATTCCAACCATTAAAGGGCACCCATGATGCAATGTTTAATCTTTTGGAACAGGTATTCGTCAGTCTTAATGAAAGTGAGCTTGTCTTCGTTGTGTTTTGTGATTTCTCTAAAGCCTTTGATTGCGTAAATCATAAAATAATGCTTAAAAAACTAGAAATTTATGGCTTCAGAGGAATCTCATACTCATGGTTTGAATCTTATTTCTCGGGAAGAGAACAATTTGTTAAGATTGGTGATACTCAGTCATCAAACTTGGCTGTGACCAATGGTGTCCCACAAGGATCTGTGTTGGGACCAATATTGTTTTTACTTTATTTAAATGATATTAATCACCTCCCCATTAGAGCTAAAATAACATCATTCGCTGATGACATTACTCTGTCCTGGAACGGAAAAAATATTGAAGAGTTGAAAAAGATTATTTCTGAAGACCTAAATCTTGTAAAGAGCTGGTGTGACTCTAACTTGCTTTGTTTTAACTCTAAGAAAACCAACATATTGACATTTAGATTTTTTTTTGATGATTTATTATTAGACACACACACAATTGAAAATAAAACTAGCTGTAAATTTCTTGGTGTTCATGTTGATACTCAACTTAAGTTTAATGAGCACGTTACAAATCTAAACAAACGATTGGCAAGTGGTTGCTATGCTGTAAGAATAGCGTCAAATGAACTTGGTTTGAATACTGCTAAGTTGGTTTATTTCTCGTTGGTTGAATCTCATATCAGGTATGGCATTGCATTTTGGGGTAACTGTTCTAATAAATTGTTTGATTCTGTTTTTGTCATTCAAAAGAGAGCAGTGCGGTATTTGGGTAAGGTTGGATATTGGGAGCATTGCAAGCCACTATTTTTAAAACATAAAATACTTACAGTATGCTGTATATTTATCATGGAAACTGCTTGCCTTATGCACAAAAAACATTATGATGAGTTAGAATATCCAAGAACTTATCCAACTAGGCAACTTCTTAAAATTCAGCTTCCTATACCCAAGACTGCATTGGCGCAAAATTCACTAATTTATAAAAGTAGGCAAATTTTTAATCATCTGCCTGTTAACTTAAGGCAGATAGGTGGTTTTAAAAAGTTTAGACTAGAGCTCAAAACATTTTTACATGGAAAAGCCTACTATCATATTAATGAATTTTTAAATGAAAAATTTTAATTTTGTTTGTTTCATTGTTTTGTTTTGTTCTGACCGCAACCTTTATGTTTTTTCTGTATTGGCTGTACCTTCTATATGACTCTATAGTTTGATGTAGTAAAAATTGTACATGTGTTGCTTAGGATTATGCTTTGACATTTATGTTTATGTTTATTTTTTATTTTATTGATTGTACCTCTTTTTGTTTTTTTATAACCCGATAATTTTTAATTACTTGCACATTATTTAAGATCATGCTTTGTCAATGAAATTTATTTTTCCGACAATAAAGTATATTTTGATTGATTGATTGATTGATCTTTAACAGAACCAAACAGGACGGAGAATGGCAGGGGTACACCGAAAGGCTGACTGAGTACCACAGAGAATTATAGAAGGCCAAACGGAAAAACTTCCAGAACTTCTGTGAATCTATCACAGAAACACCATCAGCAGCCAGACTATACAAAACCCTGGCAACAGGCAGGGCGCAAAGACCATTGACACTTAAGAAACCAGACGGCAGTTATACAGAAAATGATGAGCAATGAGCTGCTCTACTACTGGAAACCCATTTTCCAGGAAGTATACTCAATGGAACTGAAGAAAACAAAGAACGGCCCAGAAAAACCAGGCAAGAAAACTAGGAGGTAGCCAAGAACCTTTGCACTCCGCAGCGACTTGCTTGGCTTGTTGGCAACACCCATCCTAAGTGACCGCATCAAATCGGCTTGAAAGTTCAATACATCAGGCGTATTTTTTATTCTGGGGGCGGCAATGGATGCGGACGGAAGCGGCAATTGTTTGCATGGCTCACATCACTTCTACTAACTGACCGCAACTTTACAAACTGATCGCATTTGATTAAATTGCTTATCCAGCCAAAAACTGCATTATCAGCAATTTGCTGATCAGCAAAATAGATTTTCCCGAGGATTTTCCCTTTCAGGACTCGTTCCAAAATTTTGTAGGCAATTTATTTACCCTTTTTCTTCCCTTATCTCAATATCTTTTTTTTTTGAATTTTTCACTCTATTTCACAAGTTTTTTCTCTCTGGCACTTTTTTCTTATTTTTACACTCTATTTTTTTTTGTTATCTTTCCATTTCTCATACTTTTTGTATACATTTTTGTTTATTCCAGGCTCTTGACTCTTGGAGGAACTTCATTTACCCATTGATTTACCCCCGGATTTACCATTCTTTTCCCTCTATTTCAATATCATTTTTCAAATTTTCCACTCTACTGAGTACTCTACCTATTTCTCACTTCATTTCTCCTTGGCTCATTTGGTGTCTTTTCTACTCTCATTTCTCTTTTGATTTCTCTTTTCGTTTCATTCCATTTCTCATGTTTTTTGTATAAATTTTAGTTTTTTATTCCAGGCTCTTGAAGGCAGTTTATTTACCCTTTTTTTTCCCTATTTCATTAACATTTTTGAACGAGTTTTTGAAATTTCCCACTCTACTTATTTCTCACTTTTTTTCTCCTTGGCTCATTTTTTTTCTTTTTCACTCTAAGAATTTTTGAGAGAATAGAAAGGAAACATAAAGAGGAATAGAGGAAATAAGTAAAAAAAAGGCAAAGGAAAGAAAAGTTGAGAAATAGACTGAAAAATGAAAAAAGAGATAAATTAGGGAAAAAAAAGGGTACCTAAATAAATTGCCTTCAAGAGCCTGGAATAAACAAAAATTTATACAAAAAATCATGATAAATAGCAAGAAAACAAAGAGTGGATAAGATTGAGCATAAAATGGAATACTTAAATTGTTTAAAAAAATTGATTTTCTCTTTGTTGTTTCTTCCAAGGTTTAAAAAGCTGTTTCATGAATATCTTTCTGATTTTATGCAACAGAAAAATTCATAAAATAACTGGATTCTTCTCGGGATTCTTTCATGATGGCCTAATTTTTTAATTTGTATTTTCTAGTGATTGAGATTCAAAAAGGTAATTCTCTACTTACGTCACCTTTACAGAACAGCCACAGCACTTTGCTTAAGTTAATAACAAATTATATCTAATAATAATTATTAATAAAATTATTTTAAAAAAGTTTGTTATTTGTTTTGATAAAGACCTGACATTACTCTTCTTTTTTTTGTTGTCTATGTGGCATTAGCTACCATGATGAAAATCGATTTGGCAAATGAGTATAATCGATAGTCGATAGGTCGATACCGAAAACTATTGACAACAAGAAAACAAAGATAGCAATATTTGTCTTTGCAATAGAAAGAGATAACGATAAGCTTTTTGAAAGCCGAAAAATAAAGGCGATATTTTTGAAATTTTTATAAATGGATTTTTTAAATGTTTTATAAATTAATATTTTCCTTGTGTTTCCATTTTAATATCAAAATTCTATATTACAATTTAACAAAAGACAAATTAATTGTTGTTGATGGACGCATGTCCTTAAGAAAAAAGGACAGCGATATATAGGAAATTATCGAAATTTGCCATGAGTCATGCGCCGCGTCGATCCTGTCCTGTTGTTATTCTTATTTGAGCCAGTGTCTATGAATTTTTTTATTTAAACAAATTTTTTAAACAATCCCCTTGTTTGGTGTCAAATTAAACAATCCCTCAGGATGGCAGGGAACACGGGAATGGAGCAGCTGATTCCCATAGTGAACAAGCTGCAGGACGCCTTCACCCAGTTGGGGGTGCATATGACATTGGATCTTCCACAAATTGCTGTGGTGGGCGGACAATCTGCAGGGAAAAGTTCAGTTTTGGAGAACTTTGTTGGAAAGTAAGCCCATAATAACTCATATCATTGAAAATTTATATTTGGGAATTCAATTAATTGAACCTCTTTGAGCCTAAATCACACAGATATCCCCTGACCTGATTTACTGATAATAGTAGGTGACATACCTACCTAGTTTTCTTTTTATTATTGGCTAATGTGTTCAAGAAATTGATAAAAGTTTATTGGAAAAGGCTTAAATGCAATTAAAAGCACTGCCCATTTGATCTAGTTATTGTAAATCTATAATATCGAAAAGGTCAACCAGTTTATTGACTTCTTGATTTATCTCATTTCAGAGACTTCCTTCCTAGAGGTTCCGGCATTGTCACTAGACGTCCTTTGATTTTGCAGTTGATTCATGCCAATGCTGGTAAATATTAATTTTTTTAAATAGAAAATCAATATTCTTGTTAGTTGAGTGTGTACCTACCTATTGATTTTCTTAATAGAGGTTGATCAGTCTTGATTTATTGGTAAATGGTTCTATTTAATAATTATTTTCATAGCTACTTTAAATAACACTGTCCTGTCTTTGTTTGCAAAATGTTTATAAGTTGGATTTTTTGATTTGGCTTTTCAAAGTAAAAATATTGAAAAATACTTCTCTAGGTTAGGTTTGGGTATTACACATTACTCTAAATACTTATATATACAGGGTGATTGAGGTAGCCCCTGCATTATTAGAAGCTTCCCAGTTTGCAAGTAGATTAGTAGAAATATCATCTTATCCACCTGCAAGCTAATACACGGGCTAGATAAATCACCCTGTATAAGTAATTGTGGGTTTCTACAATATTCTAAATAATATGTTAAAAATATCAAATACATTTATTACTTAAAAAAAGTCAGTTTTGGTCAAGAACCCTATATTTTGTTTCTATAATTACCCTCAGATTCTATTCAGGTATTTTCATAGCTACTCAAAGTAACACTGTCTTTGTTTGCAAATGTTGGTTTTACATTGGTTATTATTACACAAAAATGTCATTGATTACATTACTAAAAAGGTCTGATCTCACAGAAATCAAAAACCAGTCAGAGCATTTTTGATTGGCGGAAATCGCCAACAAACACTATTCTGACTATTTTCAACCAATTAAATTTGCTCTGACAGGTTTGTGATTTCTGTGAGAACAGATCTTAAGTAGACCTACCAAGGTATCTACATATGTTCTATGTAATTGTGTAATTCATTGCTTAAAAACAATTGAACAAAACTCAGTTTTGGCCTAAAAAACCCATATTTTCTCTCTATTATTAGGTATACCAAAACAAATTTTATTATATGTAGGTACTATAGTACGTTTTTTTTGGAAAATTTTTGCACCCTAACTTTGAGAGATATCAATATTTATGTTGGAAACTATTTAGGAATTATAGTGAAGTTATTACAAAAAAAACTAATGAAAAACCCAGTTTTACAAAGTTTTATTAATGCCTTGATTAATAAGTACATCATTAGGAATTTGAAAATTTCCAGCAGTGCTTAAATAATAATAATAATTATATTAATAATAATTTATTCAATACTTTCAGTATACATAACAATAGTACAATTCACAATAATATTTTTATAATCTAATAATTTTTTATTGTGGCACTTAGGCATGAGAATGCCTGCATGTGCCACGTTTAATGGTATAAGTAGTTGATAATGATAATGAATGAGGGGTATCATGTATAAAATTCTGGCCTAGCAGTACCCTAATTCATTAGAGATAAGGGCAGGTTTAAACAGTTTAAAGATTCTGTAGACTGTAGGTGAAACATCTTATAGTTATCCCTAAATACACTGATTTTGAAAACTTTTGTAATTCTTAAATATATATTCTTTACAACTTTTTTTGAATTCTTTAAGACTAGGTATATCCTTAATTTTCAATGGCAATAGGTTGTAGAATTTTGAAGCACAGTTTTGTAGAAACTTAAAACTCAATGTCTTTTGGCTCTTTTGTATAGTTACGTTTTTATTCGTTTTATTACGTGTATTATGCTTATGAGCTATGAGTAATTTTGATTTATTATTTTTGTACATGTAAATGCAATTTGACAAAATATACAGTTGCTGAATATTAAAAATATATTCGTTATATAATTGTTTTGTGGGGTAGAGTTTATTTTTGTTGAAGATAACTTTCAATACATAATTTTGAACAACTTGTAAAGGTATTAAGGTAGTTTTGTAAGCAGCACCCCATGCTGTAATACCATAACGTAACAATGATTCAACTAGTGATTTATAGATCAATATTGATAGTTTTTCATCAAGGATTTCGCGTAAAATGTAAAATTTATATATAAGTTTTCTGACCTTTGATACAACATGGCTGATATGATGTGTCCATTTAAGGTGTTGGTCGATCACAATCCCCAGATATTTCATTTTTTCACAAGAATCAATAGATTCATTTTTATTTATGAAATTTTTTTCAAAGTTTGGTCTATTTTTATTTACTGGGGAAAATGCAATGTAGTTTGTTTTCTGTAGGTTCAGTGAGAGCTTGAAGCTTTCCAGCCAATTTTTAACAGTGTTGAATCCCCTGATGACTTTCTGCCTGGTTTCCTCCCAGGACGCCCCCTTAAAGATCAATGCTGTGTCTTCTGCATAGGAAATTACCTCCCCTTCCAGTTGTATGTTTAGGAGTGAGTTTATGTAGGTTAGAAACAGTATTGGTCCCAGTATGGTTCCTTGGGGAACTCCCGCGAACTTATAGTGTTGTCTACTTTCGTGTGCTGGTATCGGTTTGAGAGGTAGCTGCGGAAGACATCAAGGGCCATTCCCCTTACTCCATAATGTTCTAGGACGCTGAGAAGTTGTTTATGAGGCATTGTATCGAAGGCCTTAGCGAGGTCCATAAATACTACTATTGTCTTTTCACTATTGTCCATACTCTTCGTTATTTCTGATGTAAGATGCTGAATAGCATCAGAAGTACTGATTCCCTCTGTGAACCCATACTGTTTATTAGATAGGATGTTATTTATTTTTAAAAAATTTACCAGTCTGTCCTTTAGTGCCTTTTCAAAAATTTTTGTCAAGTTATTAATGAGGCTGATGGGTCGATAATTTTCTATTTTATTCATTTGACCATTTTTGTAGATTGGTGTTATTAGGGAGGTTTTGAAATGATGTGGAACAGTTTATTATCATGTATTAACTCCTTGAAGTGAAAAATCTTAAAAAGTTGTTCTGGGACAAGAGGTGAACCACTTTGCGAAATACTGTCACAAATTCAGTAAAAATCCCGCGAAATCCTTTAAAATCCTTCAAAACCCCCAGGAAATCTGCGCGCAATCTTGGAAATAGATGCACAATCCCACGAAATCTTTGCGAAATCCTGCGCAATCCCGTGAAATCCTGCGTTAGCTTTAAGAAATCCCTTCAAATTGGAAAACCGGAGTTTCTTAACACCCAACCAATAATATGGCGAACGCCAAGGTCACACACAGATGCCAACTAAATCCATTTATTAAATATAACCTAACCTAATTTAATTTACGGGTATATGTTACTACTGCACATTTCTTGACATATGAGACATTTTACAATTCTTAAAACCACTCAACTATTGACTTCAAGTCAGCTTGCAACTTAACATTCTCTTTAACAGATATGGTTTTGAACAGCTTAAAATCGTCTGCATCTATTAAACCAAAAGATGAATTTACACAAGACAGCCCAAGTTTACTACCCTATCTCAACACTATTCTTTCTCCCCATCAAATAGGATTTCAACAAACTGCATGCTTTTGGTGAGAACCCAAACTCAACCAATCTATTTAAGAGAACACAGTGATTCACCTTATCAAATGCCTTCTCACAGACTGTGTACAGAACAGCCAACTGCCCCCCTGCCTCACCACCCTTGGAAATTTGCTCAGAGAGTATACACAAGTTTATTAAAGTGGATTTATCCTTTACAAAACCATGCTGATACCTGCTGATTTTATGTTTTACACATTCACATATTTTCTCATAATGAATGTTTTTAAAGATTGTAGCCAAGCTGTTTAACTAACTAATAGGTCTATAACTTAGAATGTCATTCTTGCATCTTTTTTATTAATTGGAGAAATAGTTGACAATTTTAACTCATCTGGAAAGCATTCCTGCTCAACTGACATGCCAGAAAGATAAGCCAAGGGTTCTGCCAATAGTTCTGCAATCCTTTATACAGGTTGTAAAAAAAAAATGTGCCGGACTTCATATGAAAATAAGAAAAAAAGTTCAGATGAACATATGCCCTAAGATGCTTTTTTGTTTTGTGAGTAACTACTTTCTACCCTTATGGAAATTACTCTTTCAGAAATGTATGCAAGAATACCAAATTTCAAGGAAAATAGTTTGCCACTGTTCTTGAAAATACATAAAATCTATTATTTTCATCTACCATTTGAAGGGCTGTAACTTCTTCAGAGAGCATCTTAGGGCATATGTTCATAGGAATTTTTTTCTTATTTCCACAAGTAGTATCACCCCTAGAAGTCGGGTACACTTTTTTTTTACATCCTGTATAAGATGGTATTTCATCGTGACCGGTGGATTTCTTGGGTTTAAGGTTTCTTATACCACTGATTACATCACTCTTAGTGATGTTTCCAAAGTCAAAACTGCCCCATCTTTATTTTCATAATGATAATTAGAGAGATTTGAAAAATCATCACCTTCAGTTTGATCACTTCCAACTGATAGCTACTCAAATACTTATGTTCCTCTTTGAGAGAATAAAAAATTATCAGTGACTATTTCACTAGTGTTTTACACCACAGATAAACCCGTCCTAGGACGGGTTAATCTGTGTTTTACACTGGCAAAATGCCATAGGAACGGCCAGTTTCCTACTGACAAAACTTCTACCTGTTCCTACCTGGGCAAAACCAACATGATGGTTTTTCAGCGACAAAATTTTGTGTGGTTAAGGTAAAAAACTATTGTTTTTGACAAGTGTCACCTAAAGAAAATAAATTTTCCAAATGAGAATTTGCCTTGTTTTTCTCGTGAAATAGTCCAGCCGAATACCACTCAAGAAAAAATTATGTAAGCAAAATTATTCTCTTGGTTTTATTCAAGTTTGTTGCTTTTTGGTAATTTCGCTCATGAAATTACCAAGCAACAAACTTTCATACCAGTCGAAAACTTTGCCAACAAAATTTTTTCTCTTGTGGTATTATACAGTGCGGCCGTAAAGTAAGGAATAAATTCAATAATTATTCTTCCAAGCAATTTTTTTAAAAATCCTCGAACAGGTCAATTTTATTTTTTGTTGAGCATTTTTTATAAAATAAAATTATTATACAGGGTGGTCGCAGAAAAGCTGGACAGGTACTAACTTAATTTTTTTAAATGGACACCCCTAATTTTTTTTACAT